AACAAGTATGCAAAAAAAAAAACAAATACGGACAGTTAAAAGTTAAAAGAAAAGACATGAATGACACAAAATAGGAAGAAATCTCCGTGTTGCAGGTAACAGATTTCAGATTTTTTCGTACCAACATTTAACTTCACTGCGCTCCTCCCTTATCGATATGGGCTTCGGTAAGCATTCAAAGTTGAGGGCATGATTTAATTTGCACAGACATGAAATGTAAATGTGTTTAATTTGCTTGGAAGAGTATTATTATAAAAGAATATCAAAATATAAACTCAATCATATAAATTAATTTTTAAACCATAATTCACATTAATTGTTAGTACGTAAAATATTGGGACATGTAGAGTATTTAAAAAAAATTCACATTGTTGAATACTCCTATTTAATCAGAAATTTTATATTAAATATGGCATTGTATTTTATTTGTCCCGGCCATATGTTTTCAGAATGATCTAAATAAACAATGATTTTGAATAACACAATTCCAATTAAATTAATGTTATATTTGCATGTAAAATATAATTTTTACAATAAATAAGCATCATAAGAATAGTATATTAAAAATAAATTTATATAATAATTTCCCATTTAGACAACCATTCAAGTATATTCATAGTTCTCTATTGAAAAATTTTGTTATAGATAAGTGTAAAAGTTGGATAAAGTGTTATGTTAGTATTTGTATCAGAATCCGAATAAGATTTAACTTCTTAAATTCTCAAGTTGTAATTACTCAAACAAATAAATATGAATATATTTAATGTTATTGTAGACTCTTAGTGATAAATACAAATAAAGTACTTTTTTTTTACTTCTGTAATTTTGTTTGAAAAATATTATTCTCTCTTCCTATATGCATATTTGTTTGGTCTAAAATATATTTATTTTTATACTTAAGTAATAGATTGATAGATAATTGTGATATTTTTATTAATGAATTATTCACAAATAGAAATCTAAATATGAAAAAAATAAATAAACTCTGATATTTGCCGGATGATGTTGTGGGGATGGCTGATACATTGGTAGATTAAAATAAATATTTATATTGATATTTCAAAGACTAATTTCTATATATAAATCGGTAGTGTTCACCTATTAAGTCAATTTAATCACACTTTCAAATAAAACTTCAAATAATTTAAGAATAATTATTATAATTGAATTATCCTTTAGAAACATAGATTGGGGAATACAAATTCACTTTTCATCGAATTTGGCAGGAACTTAATGTGCAAAAGTTTGAGATTTTGATGATGTGTATAAAAGAAATTGTTAACGTGACTATGATAAACTGCGTGATTGGGCATATTTTTGTTTGAGTAAAAATTTTTAGATGGTGAAAAGAAGTTAGTAGAAGNCTTTTTTTTTTTAATTTAACATGATGCAATGTAAAGAATAACAAATATTTATTGTCGTGTGAAAATAAAATAACTAAATAATAATTAGTAGTTAGTGAATAGATGAATACTCCTTCCTATTTTTATTATTTGTCGTTTTGGGAAGCAACACGCTAATTAAGAATTTTTTTTGTTGCCAATATTAACCCTATTTAATGAATATTTGGGAAACGATGGAGATGTGATATGAGGAGACACTGTGTATTAGATCGAGGGTTAAAAATGAACAAAATAACTAAAACGACATTTATTTAATCAATGATCAATTAAGCCAAAGTGACAAATATTAAAAATAGGAGGGAGTAATAAATTTTATAGATAGATGTGTAGTAATAATTAATCTTTTAACTTAAAAATTGTATTAGAAGATATAAGTGTAGAGAAGATTAGAAAAAAAGTTACATGAATTAATTTGAAAATGGCTCAATCGCATGATAAAATGCTCTGTTACAAAGGTAAAGAAAATCAGTCGCAACAGAATATATGTCAGATTACGAAATTGTTATTGTCTAAGAGGTGATTATAATTTTATATGAAAACTCAGACCAAATTATGTTCATCAAATCAAAATGCTAGAACAATGACGGATATATCTAGTGATTAAGAACATTTCCATATGAGCTAAAAGTCAACCATCTATAAGAGAAACATTACACGTCTCGTCTCAACTAACAGAACTAGGCTAGATGACATCCATAAATTTCTATGTTCCACATACCTCCGGCTGAAGTTCTCGCATAATCTCGTACATGTCAAGAAGGACAAACAGCTTTTCGGGTGATCTTAGTGATTGCTTCACCAAAACTGAGGAGAACCGCCATGCTGTTTGCTGTGACCTTGGCAAAACACTGGTCCCTAAGATTATCATGACCTTCGAAAATCTCGTCACACAATTTCTTCTCCCCGGAAAACAAAAGCTTGACCTGTTCGGACACAAAATAGAAGTTTGTTGAAAAAAAGTACAAGAAAAGAATTGAGACAAAAGTAAATCAATGACTGGAATGCGAGTAAATCCTTACAGCAATCCGCACGAAATGAATCCAGTTTCCTATCTTTGCCTCTAGGGATTTCCCACTGCATCTTTTGCACGTCCTCTTTACTAAGTCTTTCAACACCAAGTTTCTTTAAAGTTTGCTCAAGGGCAGCAGACCGTGCTTCCCTAAGTGGAAAAATTGAGACAACAATAAAACCACGAGAAGTACAAATAAAAAATAGAATCTATACTACCTACTGGATGTTTGCCTTCAGATACATCGTCAAGTCATATACGCAACATTTCAGCTGATAAGTTATCATTAAAAAGGTAACTCTCAAAGTTCTTCAGAAAGTTGACCTATTAAACTTAGCTGTTCCATTTTTTTCAGCTAGTGGTTAATATGCATTTCAACTAAGCTAATGATGTAAACATAATCAAGCAAAACTTCACAACCTTACAAAAGAATACATGAATCAGAATGATTATGACTTAAAATTTATCAATTGATTCCGACGTGCTTACATGAAAGAGCATATCTAAGATTGAAATGAAAACAAGGCCTTTACCTTCCATGAAAGTTCAACCAAATGCTGATATGAATAGCTCTTCCGTATAATAATAGCCATGAAACATTTCATCAAAATGAGATGTAAATTTGCAGTTACCTATATATAATGACGACCTGCTGATCATAGAGTGAAGTAAGGGCATAAGTCGAGGTGGAATTAGAGGTGGGAGTTGATAGACAATATTTTCTGCATTTTTTTCTTGGTCAGAAGTCTTTTTTTCCACTCAAGTCTCTTTCACGTGGTGACCCTGTTGATGGTCTCATGGAGTTTGGCAGGCAGTCAAAAAGTCGATCAGGTTCTACAGGCTTGCTGAAATCCGAAACATGACTCACCAAATAAGTTCGTCAAACATTAATAATAGCTTGCTCGGATGCTAAAACAAGCTCCATATAAATTCACTGATTAATGGAGTAAATGATAACACTGAATCTCTTTCAGATTCGCTAGACACAAAAATATTCATTGCATAGTCCAGTAATATAGTCACAACTGCACAGAATTAAAAACTGAGTAGATTTCTAACATAAATATTAACAGTTAAACAAAGACAAACAAAAAAATTCAAACCTAAAAGGTTTCGAGGTATGATTTTTTTTTCAACCAGAAATCGGAAACATTTCTAGTAAAAAGAAAAGAAAGAAACAAAGAGTGAGCTAAACCTGAAGACTTCATACATATAATAAATTATACATACAATATATTGAATGCTAGAGACAAAATAAATGCATACGTGGCCGAAAATTCCATAACTTATACCAAATAGAATAGTGTCTAGGATCATATGTGGATGAAAAGACCTGTATGAGGTGAGCAGCTGTCTGAATTCTTCCTCTAGTTTGGCAATTGCTTTGGTTAGTAAAGCATTGCCAAACTTTGGTTAGTCTGAAAGCCTTTGTTTGCAGTAAAAAAGCGAACAATGCTCCTAAGTTGATCCACTGCTTCTAGATAGCTCTCCAAATCTTCATGAGGTCCCCTCAATATCTTAGCTTCGGCCTGCAGATGGTCAATATTGTATCTATATCTATATATAAAAAAAAAGGAAAGCAGCTGCAATTTTCCCGCCTAAAATATTGTAAATGCATCTCATTAGTATTTTGATCAATTTGATATAGTTTGTCTCAAAACTGTAATGAATATGATTTTCATTAAGTATGAGAGCTAAAAAACTACTACTATTAGTATATGTGAAATCAAGGAAAAAAATAATTACACTTCATTTTCTCATGTACATCTAATACATACTCCAAGTAAATTAATTATACATAGGAAGAAACTTGGAGGAAAAAGTTTACAATAGAATTTTAAAATAATAGGTAGAACTGTAGAATATAGTTTTACTCCAAAAATACTTCCAATACACACACACATACATACGGAAGAAACTTGGAAATTTTTTTTACTCTAAAACTACATTAATTACCTATAAATAAATTTGTCAATGTCTATGTAGATTTAATCATAATGACAATTATTTATTATAAATAAATTTGTATATAGTTATTCATTGGAAAATTGCACTCTAATTCACATTTTTAAATAAATATTAAAGTTATATTGTTATTTCCAATGTAGAAACTTCAAACAACAAAATATAATTATTTGTTAAAAATATTTATTTTATAAATAATTATTTAGTGTGAAGTTGCATTCCAGTTTTTTATTATTTTTTTATCTTATTCTTTTGTGAATAACATAATTATTTGAATATGAAAAAAACTATATTATTTATGACAATGCCTCAAAGTGTGCATTGCATATGTCCTAATCTATCTATATATATACCCT